GATAACAACATTGTTTTTAGAGCTGTCATGTAAAACTGTAAAAACTGCAGCTACTGTATTTTTTAAACTGACAGTAGTAATAGCTAAGATATATTTTCAGTTTAGAATAGGCCTTCCTTATTTATTAAGCCTCAAACTGAAAAAAAAACAAAACCCCAGGTCAGACTGTCTTGAGTGATTTGTACAGTGTGCACGGCATCTGTGTCAGTAATTTTTTACACATATAACTCAGTTCTCACAAAAAGTGGAGTTAAAACCCAGCCACTCTATGGGTGCGAGATGTTGGATAGGAAAGGAGCAAACCAGATCAGAGCACCTGACAACCACCCACAGTTATTTATTTAGTGCAAGGAAGTTAGTAAGACAGACAGAAACAACACAGGAAAATAAAATAAAAGGAAGACCTATTAGATAGTGGCATCCTTCAACCACCCGCATACAATAAGTCTGTATGGTACCTACAAAATGTAGGTCTCGCAGTACAGAACAGCGGGTGGTTAGAGGGCGTCACACGTAGGTCCTACTCCTAACCTTTCCCTCTGTTGTTTCTGTCTGTCTGTCATACCTTTCCCCAGCACTAAATGGCCATTATTGTATCCATATGCTTCTCTTTATTCAAACTCAAACAAACAGTACAGATCAGAACAGACTACTGAAGCAATTTAAAAACATTTATTCCCACTGTGCAAGGCAATAATAATATATATATATGATTCATATATATATATATAAAATCATCTGTTTCTCACATCTGCTGTAGAGTGACGGTCCAACTTTCCACTCATTGTAGTTAGCCAGGCCAGCAGAAACAATACAAAACTGTACGACTTGACTCACATGAAAACATACACTCATACTTGTACGTTGATCATACAGATAGAAATATGTTGGACATTCGAGTCCTCATCCACACAGTCTCGTTTGGTGATCGCCTACTCCCTCAGTCCTTGAGGACATTCGTTCAGTTGGCAAGTCCCCCAAAAAATAATTTGTCCCGGATATTCGGATTGGCAATTTTTAACAAATCGTCAGATAATTACTTGAATCAGAGTACTCATATAATTTGTATTCATAACCTTACTCATATAATTTGTATTAATTCAGAGTCAACATTTTTTTCATCCATATTATTGTGGAGACCACATAAGCTTAAATCATTAGGTATCTGTATGTGTATCCGGGCCAAGCAAACACCTGTTAGTGTTGGACGGATACGTCTTATTTCTGTCCTCTGTCTTTGCACCCTCCCTCTCTTATCCCTTCCCCCTCTCACCTCTCCCAAGCACCCACAGTCAGAGTTGTGAGAGGAGGAGGAGGATGCTGGAAAGAGAATGTGAGTCTGTTAAATTGACAGCAATTTTTAAAAGTGTGAGCTGGTTTGAAGTAAAATAATAAAATCATAAAACAAAAGTTGGAAAAAAAACATGATGATAAAATCATTTTTTTTAAAACTGGGAAAACCCTCCGAGTCTGAGTCCACTTGGAGATCTGGACTTCAGCACAGGCCTGGAATTCAGAACAGACCTCATGCACCAATAGAAATAAGAAAACAAAATATAAAAATTTAAAAAAGCACTCGGACACACATTACACATGTTTCAGGACTGAACTACAGTACATGTACTACAAAAGAACTTTACAGCCTATTATACACATTGCTTAACTTGAGCTTCTCAGTACTGTTGATCTACGCCTATTATAGCCTACATTACAAAGCTCAAACTCATAGGTACTGTTGATCTGTGGCCTATACACATTAAAGAGCACAAACTCCTAGTCCTAGTCCTGTTGATCTGCGTCTATACACATAGCAGAGTTTGAACTCCTTGGTGCAGAGCTGTTGATCTACAGCCTTTACTGAGCTATTCACATTACAGAGCTTGAACAGCTAGGTACTGTTGACAAATATATAGGCCTATAGCTCTTATTACTCTGATTCTTCCATACAGTTGATTATGGCATGGCCCTCTGACCTAACTTGAGCCACGATTACAGGAAACGAGACGAAACGAGACGAGGTGAAATGTTTTCACCCACAGGCCAACATTAACTGGTTACTCAGAAACCAAACTTAAAATATTTTTGAGTGAGGACATGAGAAGGCTTAAGTTGGAATTGAGGCACAGATCTTTTTACTCCAGATTGTGTCCGTGAACCTCTTTTGGCCACACTCCCCTCACTGATCGGAATAATCATAATTAATGATGAAAATAACAATAATTACTTGTAACAGTTGGAACGACAGCTATCATCACATCACCAAAAACCACACGAACGGTCAAAGTTCACACTTACACAGTACTTCGAGAGAGATTCATCAAAGTTCATGAAATCAAAAACAGTGGCCCTTTGACTTCTCCACAGTGGGAAAGAACACCAATCTTTCTCAACATTTAACCTTACAAAATAAACTTGGCTGATAAAATATAATAAAAAGCCCAGATTATAGAAGGCACTCGCACCCTCAACAGTCATATTCACATACTATTATGGTTTCATACACACTCATATATATATATACAAATACAACACATATCATTCGTAGACATAATCAACCACACATACATACAAACATACATAAAATTGACCCACTTCACAGCACAAATACAACACATATCATTCGTAGACATAATCAACCATACATACATACATACATAAAATTGACCCACTTCACAGCGAAGCGAATACAGAGAAAACAACAGGAGTTCAAAACTCTAGACAAATGCCTCTGTGTAATTCCTACAAGCATAACTTTTGAACACTTTCCACACCAAGCAATTTAACTTGACTGTACCCATGTCTGCCTTCAACTTCAACCCCCACTCCCCGACCTTAAACTTTAAGTAAGCCTCTTACTTTATGCTGTTGGAGTCAAAAACTTTCTCAAAAGGACTTTAGTTTAAAAACCATTAACCTTACCCTGCCAGCAAATATCCTGCAATATTTGTCAGCTGATGACAAGACAGATATTTTGGCATGCAACAGCAATGAGTCTAACCGTTATACCTCAGAATAAAAACACTAATAATAACTTCATCTATAGCACATACCCATACTCTACAGCATATGCTCTATGTGTGCTTTACAACTACAGCCGAGGACACATATAGCGAAATCAGCAGGACACACAATTCTTTTCTTAATTACAAATTTCTCTGAATTTCAGGCTGTATCAAGGGAGATCGATTAAGTTGGACAATTGGGTCAAAATGTTACATAAATGATGTCTCCTAGATGCGTAGGACATGTTGGTTTCATAGTTGTCTTGTGGACATACGTTTTTTTAATGTTCATTTTTAATCCACCTCTTCCATCATAAGTCAGTTTTCCTTCACTGAGAAGCCTTTCTTCTACTTATGCTCTGCCACGGTCCATCTTCTACTACGTAGACCTAACATTGCAGAACGCCGGCAAGCTCTTGTTGGGTAGTGTGTAATCTCTGTTGAAGAAGAAGCATGCTGACCCAAGTGGCTTCATGTACATGCCTTCACGCGACCCCAGACTTTCCACACGCAGATGAAGCGTGTAGGTCGTATCTGCCGCAGAACACTTCTGAGACATGCAGCAATACACACAGCCTTGTCCTTGGCTTACAGAGAGGTCATTGGCCTTCAGTTACACCCATGGCTACTTCAATAAACAAAATTTGAAGCTGTGTTTAAGAAAACAGATCCACCCTCGCCGACTCCAACTCTTTCACTATTCACTATGTGCACAAACTGTTTTTGCAGAGTGCGTATTTTGAATACAAAGTATATATATAAATATATATAAATCTGCCGTTATTCACTATGTGCCTGCTCACTGTATTATCATCATTGTTGGTGTATGAGCACCAGGGCTAGGTATTGGGTGGAAAGTGTTAAAAAAATTATCATTTGACTTTTTAGGTCCCAAAGTCAACACATTCTACCTTTGACCAGCAACGTGATGGAAGCTGGGTAAAATGAAGACAAATTTTTCAACGAAAGGAACTGTGAACGAAAGCTTGATGGGAGAGGCATGGTCTCAGAAACAACACTAGACATCCTGATGCAAAAGACCTCGCATTTTTGGCTCACTAGATTGTCCTTCCCAGCGGGGTAAGTGTCAGGAGTGAACGCACAGTACAGGACAAAATGACAGATCTGTGAACACGACATGAGGTCAGATCTGCACCAGATGATGAAGATTGAAAAGGAGAGGAAAGAGGAACATATCATCGACTCAGAGAGAAAAGAGACCAGGTACGTACATTTCAGCAAAAATTGAGGTATCCTCATACATTCTTTCACAAATAAAAACATCAAACCAATCAGCACAAAATAATTTTTTTCACTGTCACAATTCCCAAAAAGTTAATGTCTGAGACTAAGAAAAGTTTCCTGTTTTTTCTTCACCATCAAAAAATTAAAATACATTTTTCCTTCTTCTTCCCTATTATCTCCAAATGGACATCCCAGTCTCTAGTGTGAAGGCTGCTGTTCCACGCAGACCACGACAGAGTTTTTGGTCTCTCTACCTAGGATAGGGCCAAAATTTCCTTCAAAGTTGTAGCAGATGGATCAATTTTTCTCCAAACAAGCAGTTCTCTCTCCCTCTCTCTCCTCTTTCACTCTCTCTCTCTCTCTCTCAGGCAGTGATATTTCCTGTCCTCTGACAGGGTGAACCATCATTTGGGCCACCTTGACATGCTGTTTTCTCCATCAGTGGTCGTGGTGGCAGGCAGAGACTCGGCGGACAGAGAGAACGACTCGCCTCACACAACGACTCGCCTCACAAAACGACTCGCCTCACACGACGTCGGCCACCACTAAGTACAGGAATGTGTGCTTCAAGGTACAAAGGTACAATTGATGCTGGCTAAAACTGGGCAAAGATGAAAATGGCAATGTTTGTGTGTGTGTGTGTGTGTGTGTGAGTGTGTGTGTGTGTATGTGTGTGTGTGTGTGTGAGTGCGTGTGAGTGTGAGTGTGAGTGTGTGTGTATGTGTGTGTGTGTGTATGTGTAGATCTATGTATGTATGTATGTATGTGAAATTGCATGGGCAAACGCCTTTACTTTATTTATTTAAAGAGGGGGCACAGAGGGGTGGGGTAAGAGTAGGTTGTTAGGGATTGGTTGGAGGGGGGGGGGGGTGTTGTTGAAAACTAAGCAAATAATGTGACCTGTTGAGCATGTGCATGTGTGTATATATGTGTGTGTGCATGTATGCTTAATGGTGTATGTCATGGTGGAGGGGGGGGGGGAGGGGGAGGGGGAGTTGTTATAAAAAAACTTTCAATAATGGAAAACATTTCCGACTGTCTTAGACTTCGGCAACAGAGAACTCGTCGTACTCGTGAGGTTTCTTCACCCAGTGGCCCAGGTTCCCCTCCTGGAAGGCTGTGAACAGCGCCTGTTTGGTTAGCTGGTAGTCGATGACGGCCGCCTTGGCCTCCGAGTACAGTCTGAGGAAGAGAAAACCACAGAAAGGTTACGCTTTGTTTGTTTTAGTAGAGGTTCTATGGCACTCGCAACAGCATAAGGTCATATGAGCGACAAGGAGGTCTGTTGTAAGGTCCTTGGTTTTTGTTTATGTTTTAGTAGAAGTTTTCCTTGTTGTCCTAAACGCCAGATGGCGTAATGGGTAGTAAGTAAGTAGGTAAGAGGTTTTCCTGCGCTCGCAACGGTATAAGGTCATATGAGCACCAAAGGGTGGAAGTCAACAGAGAAGTCCTTACACGGAATCAGGCTGACTCTGCTCACCTCTATAGTTTCAGCAGCACAAAGTCTGCTGCTTCATCTATCACGGCACCCTGGAAATAGCAGGTCACAAGATTGTGACAAACATACAAAAGAAGTAGATCTAGAGGAATAATGACGATAGTAAGGATTAGGAAAGAAAAAGCAGCAGTTCCCGGTTGCAGTTCAGGCACAGTTATGGCATGACATTGATGAATATGCCCATTTACAATTCTATTGTGCATAAGAACATTTTAATGTCCCCTCTTTGGGAATGGCCTAAAGACACTTCAGTCGGTAGCACCACTCCGGGAGGTAAAGTTATGCACTCTCCTCAGGGTTTTTTAGTTTTTGTAAGCGTTTAACAGCACTTGCAACACAATAAGCTCATATAAGTGCCGAAGATTACAGCTGTTACAAGAGAAGGAGCAAATCACACCAGAGCACCTACCAATCACCCACATGCACTCTTTTTTTTTTTTCAATAGAAGAGGGTTTTACGGCGCTCGCAACTGCATAAGGTCATATGAGCGCCAAGGAGTGGATGTCAACAGAGAAGTCTTTATAGGGAATCAGACTTATTCTGCTCACCTCTCTAGCTTCAACAACACAAGGTCTGCTTCGACTATCAAGGCACCCCGGAAATAGCGGGTCACAAGAGCGTGACAAACATACAAAAGAAGTAGATTTAGAGGAATAATGATGATAGTAAGGATAAGGAAAGAAAAAGATGCAGTTCCCTGTTGCAGTTCAGGCACAGTTATGAGCATGACATTGATGAATCAGCCCATTTACAATTCAACTGTGCATAAGAACATGTTAATATCCCCCCCTTTGGGAATGGCCTAAAGACACTTCAGTCAGTAGCATCACTCCAGGGGGAGGAGGGGGGGGGGGTATGGTTATGCACTCTCCTCAGGATTTTTTAGTTTTTGTAAGAGTTTTATGGCACTTGCAACACAATAAGCACATATATGTGCCGAAGATTAAAGCTGTTACAAGAGAAGGAGCAAACCACACCAGAGCACCCACCAACCATCCACATGCACTCTCAGACCAACACTCCATACCATACAGACATACAGAATGTGGACATGTTCCAAAGTCACAGTGCAGCCTCTCTATAATTACATCTTCGGGACCAGAAAAAAATGTCGTTACAGAGAGCTGACGTTATAGAGAGTTGACGTTACAGAGAGTTGACGTTATAGAGAGTTGACGTTACAGAGAGTTGACGTTACAGAGAGTTGACGTTACAGAGAGTTGACGTTACAGAGAGTTGACGTTACAGAGAGTTGACGTTATAGAGAGGCAACCAAAAATGACTAAATATATATATCAGGAAAAAATCGGGACTAGGGCACCATGTTGCTATACAGGTAATGTCGTTGTATCGAAGGTCATTATAGAGAGGCTGCACTGTATATTCTGAGAAGATTTTTAGTTTATATTTTACTCTTAGTAAGTTTTACCACACTTGCAACACTGATAGGTCATATAAGTGCTGAAGATTAAAGGTGTTATACGGGAGCAACATACCGAGAAAAAGGAGGAGGAGGAGATAGGATTATAGTCCCAGAGGTCTGATATGAAAGAAGGAGCAAACCATATCAGAGTGCACGCTAACCACCAACTTTCTGGGAAACGATAGAGGCTATTTAGGAATAGGATGAATTTCTCAGAGTGCCGTAAAACAAGTACTAAAACTAAAGACATAATTAAGATGAAGAATATGTTGGCACCCTAAAAATAAGATTAGATCTAGTAAAGCGGCACATTTTCCTTATTTATTGTCTTCAATATAACTGAAACAAGATCAATGACATTTTACAAGGATACACAGAGTAAGGTTGGGGCCTTTAAAATGTGGATGTACAACAAGTCCGCAAAGATCAGTTGCAAAAACAGCAAATCAAACAAAGTACTCATTGTAATGTACTTGGAGTCCAGAAAGAACTCGTGAAAACAGCCCCCCCAAAATTAAACTGCATGTTTTGTGCAGATAATTGAGACACACACAGTGGATTACTCTGTCCCCGTGGTTTTATGCGCCCCGCATAATTTAGCAAAATTTGATCATTTTTTGCATAATTTCTGATTATTTATTTTCCTTCATCATTCTTTGTTAAAATTAACGGAATCCCATAATTTCACATTTTTGGGCTCAGTTTGCATAATTTCAAAATTTTTTGGTATAAAACAGCGAGGACAGATTACTGGAAACAGTGCTGAAGGAGCAAACCTCACCAGAGCACTCACCAACCACCCATGTAATGTAAGCATCTTTAACAAGCTAAACTGTTAAAAAGATACCAAATTTAAGATGAGGCTACTACTCGAGGGTAATGGACCGTTTAGCGTCTTCAATATGACCTGAACGGCATTAAAAGGGAAGCAAAAGCCAAATACGACAATTCTAGAGAGGGGTGTGCGACTGACTGACCTGGGTGGTCCCAGAACGCCCTGTGAGGTGAGGGCGGGAAGTTTGCCGTAGAGTGCCAGGAACTCCCCGAACATTGCCTGCTTGCTCAGTTTGGACACGCCCTCTTTCTCCGTCTTGCCAGTGGTCGGGTTGATCACTTCAATGCCTTCGTCACCCACGCACCTGCACACAGACACATGTACGTGAGCCAGTGCATACACACACACACACACACACACACACACAGACACACACACACATCTGCACACAGACACATGAATATGTATGTGAACCAATGCACACACACACAGACACACACACACACACCATTAAAACACACACACAAACACAACTCACACACACATATACATACACACACACAAACACACACACACATACACATCATTTACACACACACACACACACACACATTATGATGTGCACAGATACACACATACATGTAGTCACATAGTATGCAATGCACTCACACACATATTAGACACACGCATACACACACACACACACTCACACCATTAAAACACACAAACACACATATTACAACACACACACACCATTAACACACATACACACACCCCTCCCCCTCTCACACACACACACTCACACAATAAAAACATACACACACACACATACACAACCCCATAACCCCCCTCCCCCACCACCACACACACACATAACAACACACACAACACCCC